TGAAAAAAAAATTAAAAAAATAAAAAAATAAAAATAAATAAATAAATAAATAAAACATCAACAAAAATTTGTAATAAAAATAAAAAGTAAATAAAGATTTAAGGGTCAATTTGGTGACAGGGACACAGTTCCAGACCCCATTCTCTCTCCCTCCTCTCTCCTTCTTTCTCTCTCTCGCTGCCCCCCTGCCCCCCACAAAGCACAAATCTCAGTCAGTTGAGCTGTGATAGGTAAGGAGGCTGAAGAGCAAAATCCCAAGGAGCAGCCCAAGGGCTGAATGCCGAGGCTGGGGCCCTCACCTTCCCTCTAAATCTGTCACCTTTGCATGCAGGAATTGGCTTGCCACTTTCTCTCCCTCTCCCCATACTCTCCATTTGTCTGATTCTGTGCCCTTGGTCTGCAGTGACATGCAGGCGTGCACATTATCACACACACACACACACACACACACACACAGCCACTGGCACCTTACTCAGGCGCACAGTGTCTCTAGGTGGTTTCAGACACCCTTTAAGGGACACAGCTCTGTGGGAGCCAGAAGACCTGGCCTCCTGTTATACTGTCATTTCCTCCTCTCCCTCCATTCTGGGCCCCACATGGGATGCTCTTGGCCTTTTCCTTTTTAGTCCCTTCTCCTGCCACCAGTCTGGAATGAGTCCTCCCCCACTGTGCCTCCAGAAACACTTCCTTAGAATTAACTGGCTAGATCCAGAGTGACCTGGACGTTGGACAGGTCCTCACTGGCAAGGAAGAAAGGAACAATCCCGTGTTTAGGTCTAGATGTCTCTGGATTTGAAGTGAAACCAGATCTTGTTGAGTACAGGAAGGGGCAGGGAGGGCCAAGAGAGAGACCTTTAATTTTTAAAAAGACCCAGAAGGCAAAATATTTCAGGGTAATAAGAGGTGTGACTCCAGGGGAAAATGTTGAAGATGTACTGGATGCCATGTGGAATCTTGTCTACCCGAGGGCGTCCTCAAGAAAGCCTGAGAGGGACTGACCCCTGTATCAGGACTGGGCTCCCAACTTCTCATTAGCCTGGCACCCCTGAAGACCAGTGGAGTTGGGGTCTTTCTCTGGAACTCAGGAAGTGTCTTTTGGCATTGCTGGGGGCCTCTTGGATCCAGAAAAACAGTTGGGCTTATTTTCTTTCTTCACCTTGTGGCTTGTCATGTCCTCCAAGATAGTGCTCAGTAGAATTGAGGAAAATGCCTTGATTTCCGTTGATACCAATGGAAAGGTGTTCCCCAGCATTGTAGCCACTCCCCAGGCTCTAAGAGAGGTGGGCTCACGTGCCAGGGACACAGAGCGGGCTTGCCCAGTTGGCACAGAAACATTCTAAAGACCCCAATAAGGTAGATGCTGTGGGATCCTAGTTGGAATTCTGTTGACTAGAAGGGGTGGGGGCAGGGCACCCACCCTGATGAGCCCAGGGGCTGCTCTGGCCTGTGTAGCAAATGAAGACCATGAGAACGGGTGACCAGGATGCAGTAGGAACATGCCTCAAATTCATGCCTTGGCCCTGTGAATTGTCCGGAGCCAGTCTTGATCCTGGGCAGGAAGGACGGTCTATCTAGATGTGCTCTTGGTGTCCCTGCTTCCAACCCCACAGCGTGTCCCCTGGTCCAACAGGCTTCTATCTATGTGGAGGTGAACAGAGGAGTGTCCCTTGCTTCACAAGGGAAGAGTGTTTGGTTCATACTAAACATTGTTAGATCTGAAGGCAATGGTCACTCCTGCCCCCTTGGATCTGGATACTGGGATCCCACAGACACTTCCCATACTTGGACTTCTGCAATTTTTCCTATTTTCCCAAGGTCCAGGTGAAGTCTGTCATCAGGCCTCTCTAACATTGAGATTGTCTGATCACTTGGTGGGGCAGATCCATCCAAATGCCTCCTCTGAGGGTGTCTACCAAGCTAATCCCTGTGTAGAGTTGAGTCCCGGATTCACTGGGCTAAAAATAAAATTACAGCGAACTTTAAATTTTCTGCAAAAGTTATTGAGGGTACTGGATGAAATGTTCCAGAGCACCATTTCTGTGTCCAGTGACAGCTCAATAATCAGGGACATTTACGATTATCTTTGTTGCCAGTTTCAGTCTCACAGCTCATTGGTAGCGGTGATTGCCTAGTGGCTAAAATGCCAAGAGAGCACATTCCAGTTTAACCCTATTTTATGCAGACGGGTAATAGTAATTTGGAGAAAGCAGTCTCCATGAAGATACTAAAATGGAGAACATTGTGGAGAGAATCCCAGTCTCCTCGCCAGTAGTATTTAAGAATTGTTTGGGCATCACCATGCAAGGAGTAAAGAATAGCCTGGAGAATTCTTTATGGGGGGAGATGTTCTCACTCTGTGTGTTCCGAAACCACCAATGTGTGATCCAGCCCAGCATGGGAATCATCTCTAAATTTGGCAGATCCTTAAATGTCAAATATAGCTTCAAATTTTGTAGGGAAAAGTGTTGGTATTTGTGCACGAAACCTAATATGGAGAGTGGGGGAAAGTTTTCCTGTTCCTAATGGTGCTTTCCCAGCAGAATGGGAGTAACTAAGAAGCTTAGGGACAGAGCCACAAGGAGCTTTTTGAAGTTGCATTTATATTAGTTGTTTCCTAGGATTGAGGAAACAGCAGTTGTCAATATATACCTGGGAAGGGGCCTTTGGAGATCACATTTAGGGCCGAGGCCCCCGTGAAATGCCTAGACCTGATCGGCCTTTGAAAAGTCAGGTTCTGGAAGAGGATACCTGAGCCTAAAGAGAAAGTCTTCTGGTGGCAGCTTCTTGATGACAAGGCTACGTGTGTTTTAGCTCACGCTTATTTCTCTCCCTGCCTCTAAGACCCCAAAGAGCCCACGGCCTTCACCCCTCAGTGGCTGTCAGAATTGGACTAGTCCTGTCCCCGATTTGGTTGCCAGTACTGTTCAAATACCCAGCCCCTCCCTTCTTCTGGCCAACCCCTGGTTGTAATTCTGACTTGAACTCCTTCAGGGAAGCCTTGACCGTCAAAATATGGAAGACCAGCAATTCTTCAATTGTACCACTGTTCCTTTGTGAATAGACACACAGTTTGTGGTTTTAGGTAATACAAAGTTTAAGTGCCTATGTGATATTCTGGAAGTTTATTTTATTTATTTTTTTCTTTTGGGACAACACCACTGTCTGAATAAAGCTGTCTTAACTCGAACATTTGAATTTTTCTGATGTGGCCAAAACTCCCCCAAGTGTACCTCCAGGTTGGTTTTCTTTCTTTTTCTTTCATGAATGGGGCATATGATTCAGTCAGTTCTATAGAGAAAGTCAGAAACCCAATCTGGATTAACTGGATGGAGATCCAGTGATAAGATTGTGCTTTCAGTTGGAAATTGAAATGTTAGCTAGAATTTGAAAAGGGGGGGTGAGGCCAGAAAGGCCTATAATATTGCTTCTGAGGAGCCAGCCGAGAGACCCAGAGGTCTGGAGCAGTAGAGTGCCGCCTGAAGTCCGAGCCGATGGTCCCCTGCGCCATGCCCCATCGTGGGGAGGCAGCAGCCGCAGGCTGGGACACTGCCATCACACTGCCCTCAGCCGTGTTGTATGAACAAGTAGGCTTTGCTTTTGCCTCGGAATACAGTTTAGCCTTAATCTCAAACCTTTTGATTTCTGCTTTGGTGTCTAGGCCATTTTACAGACATTTACAATATTTCTTAATCAAATAGCTTTTTTTTTGGGAAATGAAAGACATCTAGTTAGTTGGACTTTTTTGATGATGTTTTAAATTTTAAACATTTAGTTCGTGTTTGGCAATTATAGTTCATAAAATTTATTGTTTTGTGATTTTACTAGTTAGAGCTTTTTTTTTAGAAAAATAAACTAAAAGCTTGAAAAATATTCCATAGGAAAAAAAAATACTCCATAGAGTATTTTTAGAAGTGGAGGCTTTGTTCTCAATATGAGCTATAAACAAAATGTTTCTCTAAACAAAATGGTAATTTTCTTATTTGTAGGAGAGACATAATAAAATCATTTGGGGAATAGTGTATTTTTTTCATCTCCAACTACCACATGCTTTAGAACATTGTTATGCCACTTTTACACTTGAAAATTTTTTAAAGGACGTAATGGTACTTACTGTACGGACGTTCTTTAATCTTTCCCGTCTGGGTTGATTGTTAGAGCTGAGGAGGGGGTTATGCTGGGCCACGTGGCATTCCTTGTTCCTCTGTACTTTCAGTCCTCAGGTTATAATCATCAACTTTTCTCAAAAAAGGATGGGGCCAGTGGTTATCTGTTCTCCCATCAAGGCCTGGTAAGATGCTCATTCTGGCTCCCGCACAGGCAGAACTGTGGCTTTGCAGCCACGTAGCAGAGAATGGAACTGGGGTAAACCGAGGACTCCCCAGCTATTGTCAGAACAGTGATTTTGGCTTTGAATTCATTTCTCTCAAGGCTGGAGGGATAATGGGGTTGCTCATACTTAGCCTTGTTCCCTGGATGTTTCGCCAGGATTCTTTTCAGAGCAGATTCATCAGGATGAGCCTCCCGGCCCCACCCAGACTCGTGGATCTGGCAGGTCAGAGCCTGCTGAAGGACCAGGCCTTGGCCATCGCTGCTCTGGAGGTGCTGCCCATGGAGCTCTTCCCACCGCTGTTCACAGCGGCCTTCACTGGGAGGTACACTGAGACCCTGAAGGCGATGGTGCAGGCCTGGCCCTTTGCCTGCCTTCCTCTGGGGGCCCTGATGAAGGAGCAGCAGCCTCACCAGGAGATCTTTCAAGCTGCGCTGGATGGACTCGACGTCCTGCTTGCCCAGGAGCCTCGGCCCAGGTGAGGGTGATCCCATAGCTTGAGAGGCCCTCGGGGTCCCAGCTCTTGCTTGGGGTCAGGGAGAGTACAGGGCCACAGGGTAGGCCAGGGGCTTCTGCTGGTGCCAGTGAGGAAGCTCAGAGCTGTCTTGGTGCCATCGCTGGGGTCACTCTTGGAACAGGCTGTGCACACATAGAGCTGATTGAGATGCAGAGGTGACCAAAGAAGCAGGTGCCTGACCCTTCTTCATGGCAGTTAAAGGTGCTACAAGTGGGGAGCGGGAAGGATCTCAGTAGCCCAAGGAGACACCGACATACAGAGTATGGACTAAAAGTACAGGCCAGATGTCTGGGCCTCGCCTGGATTCTGAGACTCATGGTCGTATTCCCCGTTGATCTGAAAGCTTCTCGGTCTGTCTCCCATCTTCCCTGCAGGAGGTGGAAACTTCAGGTGCTGGATTTACGGAAGAATGCTCATCAGGATTTCTGGACCGTGTGGTCTGGGACCAGGGCCAGTATATACTCCCTGTTGGAGCCAGAGGTGGCCCAGCCCGTGAAGAAGAGGCAAAAAGTAGATAGTTGCAGGCCAGGGCCCAAGCAGACCTTGGCTCCTGTGGAGGTGCTTATCGATCTTTGCCTCGAAGAAGGCACCCCTGATGAGTCTCTCGCCTACCTCATCCGGAAAGTCAAGCAGGGCAAAGGTCTGCTGCACCTGTGCTGTAAGAAGCTGAAGATTTTCGCCATGCCGATGCAGAACATTAAGAAGATCCTGAAAATGGTGCAGCTGGACTCTATCCAGGATTTGGAAGTGAATTGTACCTGGAAACTGTCCACCCTGGGGAAGTTTGCTCCTCACCTGGGTCAGATGGGCAATCTGCGTAGGCTCCTCCTCTCCCACATTCACATGTCTGCCCACTCCACCCCCATGAAGGAGGAACAGTGTGTCAGCCAGTTCACCTCTCAGTTCCTCAGGCTGCACTACCTTGAGGAACTCTATTTGGACTCTATCTCCTTCCTTAAGGACCGCCTGGACCAAGTGCTCAGGTGAGGGATGGTGAGGTTTCTTGGCAGACGGGCACAAGCCCTTTTTCATTCCAGTAAACAGGAAGGGGCGTCTGCCGCGTGCCTGCCGTTTGACAGTGCCGGAGGGCAGGAGTCACTGAAGGTCCACACACGGCCATGACGTCCCCATGCATGTTGTCACATAACCTCCCAGATGAAGGTTGGAGGTATGAACTAAAATACACACTCCTCGAAGGGACTCCTCACTAGGAATCTGTATATGGGGGGGTTGGGGGCAGGTGAGTGTGCCTTTGAGAATTCTTCCTGAGAAAACGATGCCTGAATGATGATGGTCAAAACTAATTAAAAAAAAAAATAACTAAACCTGAGGGAGTTGATGAAGGGAAAGCGTATCCCGATGTGAGGTTTCAGATCGCAAGCTCTGTGCTCGGCAGCTTTGACAACGCGAGCCTCTCCCTCCAAACCTGCCTCCCATCCCTGGCAGTAAAGGGTTGCTCTGGGTTCCACATCCAGAGGAGATGCCTGATTCTGGGCACGAGTGGGAGGGAGCAGAAATGCGGAACGGTGTCAAGTCAGATCCTTTGGGCTGCGTGCTGCCAGACCTTGCCCGCGTTAGCCCTTCATGCCCATTTCCCATTGGCCTCATGCAAACGGGTCCCAGCGACGGGTCTGAGCAGCGGCCAGAAGGAAGCCTGAGTTGAAAGCATTTCTAGTCCTGTGGCCCAGTACTAGATTTCAGTGGTTCCCTTCCTTACTTGAGACACGGGGCCGGGCTTCCCTTTTGAGTGCCTCTCGTTCTCCATTGATCTGTGCTTACAATACCTCTGAAGGGCGTGCTGTGCTCCACTTGCCAGCAGAGGGGATGTTTGAGGTTTCGTTCACTTTGACCAAGTTACCCAGCACATAAGTGATGGAGAAAGGACTCCACTGAAATATGGATTGACTTGAGTGCCTTTTTTCCGCACTCGGCATCCTGGGGCTTGACCATTGTCTGTGACGCATTGGGTTTTGGTGGAGTGGGCCTCTCTTCCCTCAAGGCCTGGGTCATCCCCACGTCCCTCCGCCTGCCACCTCCATCCCCTAGAACTAACTGCTCTGTCTCTTCCCAGCTGCCTGAAGACCCCCTTGGAGACTCTGTCAATAACTAATTGCCTGCTTTCGGAATCAGACTTGACGCATCTGTCCCAGCACCTGAACGTCAGTCAGCTGAAGGACCTGGGTCTCAGTGGGGTCAACCTGACCTGTATGAGTGCCGGGCCCCTCCAAGTTCTGATAGAGAGAGCCTCTGCCACCCTCCAGGACCTGGACTTAGATGAGTGTGGGATCATGGACTCCCAGTTCAGTGCCATCCTGCCTGCCCTGAGCCACTGCTCGCAGCTCATGACTTTCAGTTTCTGTGGAAACCCCATCTCCATAGCTGTCCTGGAGGACCTGCTTCACCACACCGTCGGGCTGAGCAAGCTGAGTCACGTGCTGTATCCCGCCCCCCTGGAGAGTTACGAGGATGTCCGTGGCACCCTCCACCTGGGCAGGCTTGCCCACCTGCATGCCAGGCTGAAGCAGATGCTGCAGGAGCTGGGGCGGCCTAGCATGGTCTGGTTCAGTGCCAACCCCTGTCCTCATTGTGGCGATAGGACCTTCTATGACCCGGAGCCCATTCTCTGCCCCTGTTACATGCCTGTGTAGCTGGATGCGTGTATCCCAGGCCTCGTTCTGGGCACTTGGATGCTGAAGCCCAGGCATAAGTGTTTCTTGACAGAACACAGAAGCCACAGTTTGAGACACCTGCCCAATGTAAGCAGCGAAAGGAAGGGTGACCGGGGAGGGGGGGATGTTGACCTGGGAGTTAATGGGATCTTCGGGGAGACGCATTTAGAGCATTAGAAGTATTAATCTGAATTTCTAGAGGGAGATTCGAGTTTGGGAGGTAGATGTGGGAGTTATCCCTGAATGGATGGTTGTAAAGCAGTGGTCAGAAATAAAGAGCCTCAATATCAACCATCTGGTGTCCTCTGTGCTACGTTAAGCTTATTCTGCAGTTTAAGCCTTGGGAATCTGCAGTTACTGGTTAAACAAGAAGGTACGGCATCTGTGATGCACAAACGCTAAACTGGGTGAGGTTCGGTCCCAGGAGTTCACGGCACCATTTGTCATTCCTTCATTTGGCTCTTGTGTCTGGTGCATCTGTTACCTTCTCACTTACTTCCATGGCTATTTAATTGGTCAACACACGCACGGTGCATCCTCAGGGCCCAGAACATACTAAGTGGCCAGTGGTGCACTGGAGGAAAAGTGCTTTTCGGAGGCTCCCACTGCTCACTCTGCCAAGGCTCTGTACTCGAGCACTCCTCACCAGTGGATCCAGTGGATCCATAGTCTCCACCCCTGGCCTTTGGATGCACCAAGACACGGCTTCACTGTGCACAAGTCAGGTCCCCAGTACTAGAGGGGACATCACCCTGAAGATGAGTCAGAGCCTTTGGGCCTCACCAGCCCATGACTGTCTTCCCACCAGGGCCAACCCTTTATAGAATTCAACTAACTGTGGTCAGTAAAAACATCTAAATTCCTTTTAGCAAAATAAGATCATGTAGACCTATGACATTGGTTTAATATTTGTTTCCCACGTCGGGGCGCCTGGGTGGCGCAGTCGGTTAAGCGTCCGACTTCAGCCAGGTCACGATCTCGCGGTCCGTGAGTTCGAGCCCCGCGTCAGGCTCTGGGCTGATGGCTCAGAGCCTGGAGCCTGTTTCCGATTCTGTGTCTCCCTCTCTCTCTGCCCCTCCCCCGTTCATGCTCTGTCTCTCTCTGTCCCAAAAATAAATAAACGTTGAAAAAAAAAATTTTTTTAAAAATATTTGTTTCCCACGTTAAAAATATGACCTGTGTTTGTGGGGCTAGGTGATGTCAATGCAAGATTGACCACCTCCCCAGAAAATCTGCCTTCCTCCCCATCAAGGTGGTAAGCCAACCCTGACCAAGGAAGATGCTGTGGATTTGGGTTCCAAGAGTGAGTAAACCCTTACCAAGCCCTGGGGTGCACTTTGGTGGAAGCTGGTATATGTCTGACTTTGGAATTGGGGGTGTGCAGGGCCACCCTGTGAGATGAACCATCCAAATGAAAAGAAGATGTCCTACTGTGGGGTCAGACCCCATGCTCAATGGGCAATTGGCTCTCCAGTGAGCAAGAAGGCTCCCTGTCCTACACCCCTGCGTCCTGGCCCTAGGCTTCCTCATCTCCCTCACTGCATGGGCAAAATATTTTGGGAGGCCACACACTAAGGCCCGGGGCAGGGCTCCATCTGAACGTTTCCTTGAGTATGAGGAAGTACTCTCTGCTCTCATTCCAGTGCCTCTCATTCAGTGCTAGCACTCTGTGTGTGTGTGTGTGTGTGTGCATGCACTGCTGTCTTTGCTAGGCATCAGCAACTTCTTATTTTGCCACACACACAACTGGCCCTTCTCCATTCTCCTCCTGTAGCAGTTACCCTGTTCTGCCTTCCATCCTCCTACCCTACACCTTGTAAGAAAGAACCAGAAATGGGCCCATCAGCTTATGGGACACACTTTGCCATTTCCGAGAGAATAGAAAATGCAAAAACCTGTATAACAGTATGTTCAAAAAAAGGGGGGGGTCAATAAAAGGCCTCACCTTTTCCTGATGTGCACCCTGTTTCAGCGTCCCTGACATGGACCCTGTAATTACAGGGACTATTCTCCAGAATGGGAACCAGCAGCTTTGGAATTTGAGAAAAATAGACTGTCTTAGAGGAAGAGCAAAAAGCAGAGCATCACGTGACCTCAGCACTGGGTTCCTCAACCACAAAACAGAGACAGTAATACTCCAAAGCAGCCTGGTGAGATTTACCTATAGGGCTAACTTAATGCAAAGCACTCATAGAAGTGCCCTGTTCATGGATGGCCCCGTGCAGGAGAGTGATATTTATAGCTGCCCAACATGGTAAAGGAAGAAAAAAGTCAACACTGCATCTTACTTTTCTTTGTTTTTTAAAATTTTGATAGCGAGCTGGGGAGGGGCAGAGAGAGATTGAGAATCCCGAGCAGGTGCTGCACTGTCAGCACGGAGCCTGATGCAGGACTCAAACTTAAGAACTGTGAGCTCAAGAACCCAAATCGAGAGTCAGTTGCTTAATCTACTGAGCCACCCAGGCACCCACTGCATCTTGCTTTTATTTTATTTATTTATGTATTTATTTTTAAATTTTTTTAATGTTTATTTATTTTTGAGAGAGATAGAGACAGAATGTGAGTGGGTTAGGGGCAGAGAGAGAGGGAGACACAGAAGCAGAAGCAGGCTCCAGGCTCTGAGCTGTCAGCACAGAGCCCGACGCAGGGCTTGAACTCACAAGCTGTGAGATCATGACCTGAGCTGAAGTCGGACGCTCAACCGACTGAGCCACCCAGGTGCCCCTGCATCTTGCTTTTAAAGCAGGGTGCCCTACAGTCAGGACCCTGTTTGGCTTGGACACGTCATCTGAGAGAGAAATCTGGCAGGATTATTTACTCAGAATTTAGACTTTGCCATAAAAATATTCAAAGAGCATAGTACCAAGGCAAAGAGGTTTTTAAAAGTTGGGTTTATCTGGAGAGAGTTCTCATCAGTAAGGATGGCCATACAAGCTGTACGGGGAGGTAGTGACTGCTGGTGGCAGGGGGCCCACATAGATGGAGGCCCCATTGGGGGACAGAGGAGTCTCCAGGTCATTAGAAAGCAAGCAGTGGGAGTATGGTGCACACAGAAGGTTCTTGGGTATTAATTCACCTCGGAGCTGTCTGCTGTGCACAGAAGGTAGATTAGATTTAGGGCAGCTGGGGAATAAGAGCATGAGAGGGAAGAATGTGGACAGAAAAGAGTCAGAGCACAATCTCATATAGCAAGCCTGGGAAATCATCGAGAGGCCGAAAAGATACTGAAAGATGACCCAAGGCCTAGGCAGAATGAAAATATCTAATAATTCTCAGAGACAGAGTTGGGGAAAAGAGCTATTTTCTAATGCCAGCAAGAAATGTTGACCCACAATCCAGAAGAGTATTAGGGATCCAAATCATTGGTACTACTACTAATAAGGGTAAGGATGCAGTGGCCATACAATTAGAAAGAGAGAGAAATAGCCCAGACTCTGCCACCGACATGAAATCATTGTGAAAAGCATATTTTCATCACCTGACCAATCTCATATTTTACTGGTGATCTGGGGCCATGAAACTTAAAAAAGGAATCAGCTAAGCAATGGAAGGCCCCTCAGGCTGAGCTGAATTCTGGTTTGAGATTCATTTGCTACTCCCAAGAGAGAACTTCAGCATGAAGAGGAGACAAACCTGAGGTTCTCACAGGAGGATGTTGGTCCATTTAAGAGTTGGAGAGATTAATTTAGAAAGAGTAGAAGAACAAGGAGAGGTGACCCGGTATTTGGATAAGCAGAATTTAATATGACAAGGCGGGGCCTCAGAGGGCTGGAGCACAAAGCCATTGCTCACAGAACTTTCTCCAATATTTTCTTCAATAGATCTTCCAATCTCTAGAAAGACAGAGCAGGGACACGAGTCCCTGAGTCTGTGTCATGGGCAACTGCAGACTATGGAAATGCAGGCCATCAGCACTGTGTGGATCCTAAACGTGCCAGAGTAGGTTTCAAATGAGATGCACAAATGCCTGGTCGATCCTGGTGTCTGTCAAACCTCTTCAGGCCCTATTCACTCATGGCCCTGGTGAGCACCTGTACAGCTTTCTTCTAGTCCACAGCCTATTTGACATTTTGAAAATTAATAAAGAGAAACTTCACTAAATGAGAGGTTCCCCAGAAAGGGGACCTCTCATGCCTAGCATTTCTTGGAGCCCATTGCACGCCACAGACGCAACAGGAAGAGACCTACCTTCTAGTCCCAACAGGAAGAAGAGGATGCTTTACTACCAGCAGCAGGAGGAAGGAAGATGTTCTCCTCCCCGCCCTTCCCCATCCCCTCCCTCCCCTGCAACAGCCCAGCCAATGGGAGACAGTCCCAACTCAGCCAATGAAAAGTCACTATACTTTTAACTCCTAGTTTACTCCAATGGACTTTTTGTTTATAAAAACCCTTCCCAGCACCCACCCCACCTTTCCTCTATATAAGAATATTCCTCTGCTTTGTTCTCCAGACTTGCCTATGATTTCGCCACAGCATCCTTGTCCTGGATTGCAATTCTCTGCTATTCCCAAATAAACCCATTTCACTGATAAAAATAACTGTTTCTCTCCTTCCTTACTCCCTTCCTTTCTTTTCTTTCTTAGTTTATGTATTTATTTTGAGACACACAGAGAGAGAGAGAGTACAAGCGAGGAGAGGGGCAGAGAGAGAGGAGAGATTCCCTAGCAGAGCCTGACGTGGGGCTCAAACCTACGAACCATGAGATCATGACCTGAGCTGAAAGTAAGAGTCAGACTCTTAACAGACTGGACCACCCAGGCACCCTGCACTTCAGGCTGCTTGAGAAAACTTGGTTAATCATGATAAATGGTTAGTCACTTAAGTGAAAAAATTAGGCCAGTATATAATATAAATTACATTGCTGAGTTTTGCAAGTTGAATATTCTATATGAAATATGCAATGGGCTCAATTGTGTTCCCTCAAAATTTGTATGTTGAAGTCCTAACCCCTAGTACTTCTGAGTGTAACTACATTTGGA